ATATTTGTTCGATCGAAAGAATTGATACAGTCGAACTCGGCATGACGGGGTATCACAGTAACGTGGGATGCCCACATCGGCTATCCGGATTATCATGGAATTCTTGACAAACGCGCTTATAAGAAGTCGTTTATAAAATATGAAAATAATAATAGAACCGCATAGAATTCGAGTAACTCTTAAAAAAAGGCTTAATGAAACAGTCAGGGAAGAAAGCTGATGTTCTTTCTGCTAGCTTGAAATACAGCTTTTTACCGTGTTCGATGATTTAAGAAGCTTCAAAAACAAACAACCTTATTAAAAAGTAAGCAAGAATGTATACAGAGCTGAACAACGGGCAACAAATTCATCATTTTGGAAAATAATGGCAACTGAGCTACTGCCTAGCAGCAGCACGTAGCAGGATGATGAAAGACGGTCTTAAACTGAGTTGGGAACTCTTTGAACGCATTAAAATGAGGGAAAGCACGCAAGCATGAGGGAGTGCAGCTGCTGTTTGTTGGAGGCCATCGATACCGCCCTGCATGTACCCTACACCGGAACATACATCTTTTGCTAGGATCATCTTCGTTTGCTTTTCGCATTTCAGAGCAGAAAGCTCATAAAGGCACATACGTATGTTAATTTTTCCAACGCAAGAGAAGAGTTTCGGACAGCTGGCTCAGTACACCGGGAATCTCAGCCGAGGGCTAACCTAGATAACTCGGAGGAAGTCGACCTTAATTAGGCTATGACAAAACAGCCACACATCTTCTGCTTCAGTCTTACTAACGCTCATTTTCCCTTGTTCCTAAATATAACGCTTTATACTCGCAGATGGCAATGTACCTCAGTGTGATCCTGGAGTGGTAAAGCTTGGAAACGAGATGGTGATGCTCAAGAGGCGTTACTGATTTTTTTCGATTAGCTAAAGCTTTGCTAATATGCTTCTTTCGGAAGACCGCTGAACCAATAATTCCCTCAGGAGATGAAGGAATGTTAGGATTGTCGAAAGACAGACTACTAAATGAAGATTGGTCGGAACAACTACGAAATTAGAAAAAAAGAAAACGGCACGGTCTATGGCCACCGTTGGTGAGTGTATCAAAGATAAGTTAAAACATAAACGGTGAACGAGTAACCGTTTCAACTACTAATTAGGTAAGCAAGAAACAGTTTGTAACAAAATCCAACACCATTCAAGTGAGATCGAACCAGCTAATTTTGATTTCCTTTTGCCCGAATTTATTGCTTCCTGAACTATTTATCGTATTTTTCTCTCATCCAGATAATTTTGACACAAACTTGGTGCGAAAGAGGAAAGTATTCAAACTTAAGAGCAGTAGGTTTTGGACAAATACCTCACAAAAAGGTATTTGTCCAAAACCTACTGCTCTTAAGTCATTGGCATCACTCAAGGTCTTGCTGAAAGAGCCTCTTTTGCAAATGAATATGGACCGCTAGAGGATCGAACCGTTCGTCTTCACATTCGAACGCGTTGTGCTAAACCACTGCACTACAAACTTTTGTACGTGCTGGAGTAGCTACAGTCTACCTGTATGGCATGCCCGTGCATATTCTCTACTGTATGATTTCAGCATTCTGTGCGCTACACCCTTTCAACAACTGCTGGCTTTTCACGGTATTTTCGGAGAGGGTTCCTGTAGACGCATTGTGCAGATGGTACTAGCTAATTTAGAGAGGCATGAGACTTTCGGAATAGAAAAACCGAACGCAGTAGTATCTAGCAGATAGATTCTCAGTATGTTAATAACATAAAACCCCAAAACCGACTGTTCGATGGTTAGGCGATAATTCTGGCAAGATTAATTTTGTGTTTGAAAAACAAGATTTGAAAGGATTGCCTCATTGCTGACAAGTTAGCTAGCACTAATTTTGCTGCTTTTCGTATACTTATTTTTCTTATTGTTTTCCGCTAT